TCCATGATGCCTACTTCTCAGGCCCTTGACCTCTTCCCTCCGCCTTTCACCCACTCTCACCCCACTGCCACAACGGGAGTCTAAGCGCCATCGCCCTCACCTGCACTCTGCACTCCTGCCTGCCCATGTTTTCTCCCCACTCCAACCACTCACAGGCCATTCATTTTCTAAAGGTCAGTCTGCCCAGTTCATCTCCTGGGTCAACATTTTTCAGCAATGTGATGGTTAATTTTACATGTCAACTTGGCTAGGCTCAGTGCCCAGATATTTGGTTAAACTTTTTTTCAGATGTTTCTAGAAGGTGTTTTGTTGTTTTGGTTTTTTGTGTGTGTTTTTAGATGAGATTAACATTGAAATTAATAGACTTTGAGTAAAGCAGATTACCCTCCAATCTGCGGAAGGCCTGGCTGGAACAAAATCTGATCTCTCTGGAGCAAGAATGAATCCTGCCAGCAGGTTGCCTTCGAACTTGAACTCCAACTCTTCCCTGGGTCTCCAGCCTGAGAGTCTATCCTGCAGATTCTGGACGTGCCAGCTTTCACAATCCAATGAACCAGTTCCTTAAAAATCAGTCAATCTCTCTCTTGCATTCTCTCTCTCTCGATATAGCTATCTATTTACCTATCTATACATACACATCTTACTGGTTCTGTTTCTCGGAGAACACTGATTAATTCAAGTAGCTTCTCTTCAACTTCAGTATAAAAATCTTAAATCCTCACCTAGCCCACAAGTCTCTTAGTCATCTTAGTTCATATAATGCCTTTGTACAAATTAGAAAAAGCCACCCTCTCTAGGCAGATACAACTCTGACCAAACACAGGGCGAGGTGGGTGGAGAATGGTGAACCTTCCCTCTTAGTATGGTGCACAACCTGGACAACCACATGGAGCTGCCTTACTTTTGCTTGTTTGTTTGTTGTGTGTGTGTGTTTAGTTGAGACAGAGTCTCACTCTGTCACCCCGGCTGGAGTGCAATAGAGTGATCTCGGCTCACTGCAACCTCTGACGCCTGGGTTCAAGCAATTCTCTTGCCTCAGCCTCCCGAGTAGCTGGGACTATAGACGCCCAGCACTGTGCCTGGCTAATTTTTTTTGTATTTTTAGTAGAGATGGGGTTTCACCATGTTGTCCATGCCATTCTTGAACTCCTGACCTCAGGTAATCTGTCTGCCTTGGCCTCCCAAAGTGCTGGGATTACAAGTGTGAGCCACCGCGCCTGGCCGTTCATTGTGGGTTTTTTTTTTTTTTTTTTTTTTTAGACAGGGTCTTTCCCTGTCTCCCAGGCCGGATTGCAGTTTCGAGATAGCGGCTCACTGCAACCTCCGCCTCCCTGCTCAAGTGATCTTCCTACCTCAGCCTCCCAAGTAACTGGGACTGCAGGTGTGTGCCACCACTCCCGGCCAATTTCTTTATTTTCTGGTAGAGACGGGTTTTCACGATGTTGCCCAGGCTGATCTCAACTCCTGACCTCAAGCAATCCTCTGGCCTGGGCCTCCCAAAGTGCTGGGATTATAGCTGTGAGCCTCTGAGCCTTGCTGCCCTGCTTCTGGATGAGCCCCTGACTGACGAATTAGCTTCGTCTCTCTTCCGTGTTCTTTCCCTTTACTCCTTCCTTATCCCAAACCCTAACCTCCCTGCAGCTCCTGGAACCCTCTGTGCTCCCTTGCTGCTGTGCTTTTGTACACCTGTCACTGCTGTTTCAAGCCCCCTCTTATCTTCTGGTATTGTTTCCTCTGGCCAAGCTTTGCCAAGGCTCAGCCTGGGTCAGCCTCCCCTCTCCTTGCCCCGGGTCCCAGTCCTTACTTCAGATACTGTGCTGCTTCATCACTCGTCTAGATTGGATACTCCTCCAGTAAATAGGGCTTGAGCTTTGATCCATCGGGCTGGGCACTAGTAGGTGCTCAATAAATGTTTGGTAACAAGTGAAAACTGGGAAGTGAATGAATGGATGAACGGGGACACAGCAGCTCGCAGCGTGCAGCAGGAGGCGCTCGCCGAGAGGGTGCTCCTTCCCTTCAGAGCCAGCCCGAGTTCAGCCAGCGGCCCCGCCGGGAGGAGTGGGAGTGGGCCGGGGCCGGGGCCGGGGAGGAGCGGCCATCCCCGCGCGACCCACACACCCAGGCTCCGCCGCCCGCAGCGCGGCACAGCGAGGGGGAGGGCGCCTGTGGGGAGGACAGGGTCGGAGGAGCGCCCTTCCGCAGGCTCCTTTCATTCTTCCACTCGGGGGTCTCCAGGAATGAAAACTGGCCCCAGCCAGGCCAGAGCGCGCGAATGAAAGGCGGCACTGGGACCAAGAGAGAAGCCTCGTCCCGCCTGGGCTGCGGAAACTGGCGGCGCCGGGGGTGTCCCGCCGCACGGGCGTCCGAAAGCGGGGCAAAGGGGACAGCCTCGCCCCTCGAGCGGCTGCTCCCGCAGCTCGCGCGCCCCTGCGGGTACCTAGTCACTCCCGCATGCGGCCCCGTCCCGACTCTTGGATTGGACTCTCCAGTCCCTTCTTGCGTCTTCCCCTCTTTCCTCTGGGCCTTGGTATGCCCCAGGGGACAGATGTCTTGGGATCTTTAACATTTGGGATGCTGCAAATGCCGAAGTTAAATGAAATACCTCCGGGGAGGGCAGGCCGCGGGGAGGCTCGCGGGGAGGGAAGATGGCCTGGACAAACAGGTCCTGAAGCTGCGAGGCTGGAGCGGAGGGCGCAGGGGCAGGCGGGCGGCGCCAGAGCTCCATGGGACAGGTAAGCGGGAAAACTTCGGGGCACCCAGCGCGGGTGAACTGGGGCGGGGGATCGGGCCCCTGAACCCATGGTCTTCAGCCTTAGCGGAGGGAGGGTGCCTACAGGGAATGGGGTTATTTTATCAAGGGGGCAGGAATTCTGAGTTCCTACCAAAAGTGCACACTCCCAGCCCCTCAACCTTTCTCCGTCGACCTTCTTCGTGCCTGTGGATCTTCCTGGCCAGGTTCCGGGAAGCCAGAAAGCAGCCAAACAAAAGGAGCAAAGTCTCGGGCCAGCCTGGATGTGGAGGGCGCGGTGGGGGAGGGGAGCAGGGTGGACAGGACAAAGGGGCTTTTTAGAGAAAGCCTAGAGGTCTCATTTCAGGGCGCATTCCAGGCTGGCTTGGAGTTCCCCTGTCCCAGCCCACTCCACCTTTGCTTAGTGGAGGCGAACACCTTTCCTAGTGAGCAGGGAGCAGATGCAAGCAAGAAAACAGTGAAGGAACCATCTCCCACCCCTCTTGCCTGGAGGGTCCCGGGCTATTTCACTTCTTCCTTTTTTCACTGTTGGCTCTAGCGCTGGCCATTGATTCCTTAATTCATGAAGTAAGATTTTTAGCAGTGCCTGAGACTACTTTGCTGGGGGCTGTTGGGGATGTGAAGATGGTAGGATCAGGCCCTTGCTTTAAAGAACTTCCAATCTGGTGTTATCAGAAGACGCTAGAAGAAGGAACTTTAAAAAAAAAATGGAGACTGGATGGCTACAGCGCTGGGGAAGAGTTTTCTGATTCGGGACTTTTCCTTAGGAAATGAAAACACTAAAGAGGTCCAGTTTCTCTTCCGTGGGGAAGGGCTCTTGTCTGCAAAGATCAGATTCCAACTACTATAATGTTTTGCAAGGAAATACCACTTCCTCACCAACTGGTGGTCTGGATGGCACTCTAGGGTTTGGGGCTGGGGCATCCATCAGTCCCCTGACTCCCCAGCCTGGCTGGAGTGGGGAGCTGTTTCGGATTCCCAGCTGGCCTTTGGAGTGCCCACCTCCCCCATTGGTATTTTGAATTGAATGATATGGCTATCAGAGAGCTCCAAGGATGGCTCCCTGGGATTCTTGGCAGGAGGTTTGGTTTGCCAGCTCCCTTCCAAACCTCAGATTCTGCAGGGTTGGGAAATACTGAGTGTGAATTTGGGGGAGCAAGGCGTTTTTGAAAATTACAAAGGATCAATGCAAACAGATTGAGCATCTGTACTAACCTCCCCTGAAGTCAGAGATGGTGGATTACCTGAGGGCAGGGATTCTTAACTGGGTTCATCGGCATTAGGTATCTGTAGATAGAATTCAGAGGGTTTGTAAACTAGGTGAGGAAAAAAAAGATATTGTTTTTCACCAATCTTTAACAGATTTTAACATCACCTTTAGTTGTGAAGACAACAAATCACGGTAGCATTGGCAGTACCTGTGACTTTGCCATTAATAGATTTCACAGTTTCATATCGCATTGCAGTCACAGCTGTCTTGAAATATTGTTTACACTCAGCCCTTGTATGAAATTACCCACTGCTAGACCCTGCTTAATGTTAATAAAGAAGCATATATATTGCTATGTTTTTTTATTTTTAGAACTTTATTTCATACAATTGACTTTTTTAGTGATCTTCTTAATTTTATTTTATGCATTAAGAAATGTGAACTGTGAGCCAATTCTAGAAACTTCCACCAACCCCCACCTGGAGCTGGGGGTGGGCAAGGTGGAGGAAGGGCCGCTTATGCCCAGAGTTAACCCCTCTCTGTTTGACTTTGTAAGAAAGTGCCAAGCCTCTATGGGGAGGGACTGTGTGTCATGGAGGACTGGGGAAGGGCAGGACTGCAGGCTCTTTGGGAGACCCAGAGAACAAGCTCCCCATGGGGTGGGGGGAGGAGGAACTGTCCCCTGTTAGGGCCCCTCAGCCTCAGCCTGGGCAGAAAATGAGGTGGTCAGCCTGGAGCACTCTGGGGCTAGCATTGTTTGGAAAGAGGGTGTGTACAGGAATGTGAAGGTGTGCTGGGTGTGTGTACCGGAGTAGTGGGGGATGCTGGCGGACTCCAGTCCCATAAGTTCCGCTCCACAGGAGATGCCTGGTGAAAGCAAACTTCCTCTGTCTTCTCTGCACTTGGGGGTGGGGAGTGGGGAATGGGGGACAGGGCTCTTTAGGGTCTGGGGGAGGGGAGGCAATCCAGACAAATACTGAGGCACTGGAATCTGGGTGGGGGGAATGGTGGGAAGATCAGAGAGTGGGGGGAAAGGGAGGTGGTAAGATGAAGACTTGAGGGGTGCAGCCTGCTAGGGACAGGCAATAGTCAGCCTTAGTTCTGCTTCCCTCTGTGAAATAGGCTAGATTCCAGTTTCCCATTTGCTTGGGGGTCGGGAGGTCTCTCCTCAAGGGAGACCTTGAGGCTTATTTTTCTGTAGGAAATAAGTTCCATTTTGGTCTCAGGTTCCTTGCATTTGGGGAGTGGGCTTAGGGTCTAGGGTCACAGTGGACCTCTTGTGGAATAGGGAACAGGACTTGGGCTCAGGTCAGTGCCTGTCAGTGCCCCATGAACATGCGTTGCTGGGGGATGGATGTAATAATAAACAGAGAAGTGATGGCCTTGATACCCCTGGGGGAAAATGTCTGGGATAAAAAGAACAGCCTGATCTCCCTCTCTAGGATTCTAGAACTTCTACATATTGGAATTCCAGCTGCCTTGCCTGAGGTTTTAAAATCCTTACCCGGTAGAGATAAAACCCAGGCCTTGAGCTCCATTTCGGTATATGGGGAAGAGCAATGACCCATCCCTGTCAGTTTGTAAATGTCCTACTTGTTTTCTCAGTGGACAGTGAACGTCTCACCCTGCTTCTGGGGGGCTTAACAGGCCTCGATTTCTGGAAAGAGAAACTGAGGTCAAAGGAAGGCAGAGAGAGCCAGGGTCAGGACAGGAGGGCACGCAGGTACCTCACAGCTCGGAACGTTGTACTAGGGTCTCTTGAGGCCATGAAGACACGACCCTTGTTGTTGCCTTCTTCGGGGATTCCTCCATGGGAGCCCCTTTTTCCCTGCTACCCTCCTGCCCCCCGGAAGTGCAGAGGCCCAGGAGCTGCCTGCCGGCACCAGTTGCACGGGATTAGTTCAGGGAAGGACTTGCTCACCTGCTCCTCCCCTCTGACTCAAGTCATAACAAGTAACCTGGTTCCCCTGGCCCGGCAGCCTGGGAGGGACGGCAAGGCAGGCAGGTGAGCCGAGACGGATGGCCAGCAGCCCCGTCTGCTGGAGAGAGAGCACAGGCCTGTGGCTTGGGAGACCCTGAGGCGACATGCAAGGGCCCTGCGCCCCCTGACTGGAAGCAGGGGCTGTTTCTCAAACTCCTGGACAAAAGCCCAGAAGCAGGTGAGGGCGGGGTAGGTGGAATGGGTCTTTGGGACTGAGAGCAGGCTGGCCTGGGAGTGCAGGAGCCCAAGCAGTGGCCATCAGCCCTCCAACCCCCACCCCCGCCAGCCTATGTCTGGGGTGTAGGGATGACAGAGGGGTGTTGGTGGGCTTGGACAGGAGCCTGTTCCTGTGGTTGCCCAGGCCTTAGTTTCCACCAGAGGGAGGGCAAGCAGAGGTGAGCTGGGACAGGCCGGCCCAAGACCTGGCTTTGGGGGACACACTTGGGATAGAGGAGGATCCCCCATGGCCCAGCCTGAGGGAAGGTGCTCTGGAGTTTCCCTCCCTCCCTCCCTCTGGGCCCCTTCTGGTCTCCTCTGCCTTTTTCTGGGGACATTGTTCAGCCGGATGGCTGCTTTTTAGGGCCCAGTACTGGGGCTTGAAGAGGCCCAGGAGGGATCCCTGTGTTGGGGAGAGGGTGGGATGTTACCTGAACTGCCTTTAACTAAAAGCAATGCCTTAGACACTTAAGACTCATAGCCTCCTGGGTGGGGGTGGTGCCCTCGCTCTCACCTGCGGACTCTGGGGCAGGTTCCCTACAGCTGTGGAGGGCGGCCTCGGCAGAGGCAGATGTGGGTGTCTGCTACATGGCTGTGCAGTTTCCTTCTTGGCCTGACATTGACCAAGAGGTCGAGATTCAGACCGGGGACCTGGAAAGGCCTTAGACGCTCTGCAGTCTTTATTGTGCACAGGAGGAAAGGAAGCCCAGGGAGGCCTGGTGACTTTCCCAAGGTAGCGCAGACCCAGCAGAACCAAGCCTTGATTCCACAACCGGGCTATGGGCTTCTGATGCTGTTCTCTTTGCTCTACTTGGGGCGGCAAGTCATCCCAGAGAGCACCCAGCATCAGCCTGGGGCCACCGGGAAGATCAGTGCCTCCCCTTTGACGCTGGCAGTGAGAGGCTGGGCTGAGCTGCGAGAAGGGGCAGCTGGCGGAGACAGGAGGCGTGCTAAGGTACGTCTCTGTCCCTGTAAGTCCCCACTCCTCTGCAACAGTCTCAGAGCCCCTGAGAAGCAGGGCCTGAGTTGGCCCAACTTTCCAAGGCAACTACTTAGTGGTTAATAATTAATTAGCAAGCGTGACTAATTAATGGCTTCCCCTCCCACATTACTTCCTCCTCTGTCCAAAGCAGACACACTCAGCGTGCTAGCTGAGACCACCCTGCTTCCTAGCTCTGGCTGCATCCTGCCCTTGGCTTCTGGGGAAGGTGGGAGGATGGCTAGGGTGAGTGGGAAGGGGTGGGGGTGAGCTGCCTGCTCCTCTGTCCTGTTCTTATCTCTACGAGGGATAGAGTTTAGGACAGATGGACAGTGCAGAGCTAATAGTCATCCTAAGTACCCTGCTGGGTGGGGTCCCAGAATATATGGCCAGTCTTTCAGAACTTTGGCCTGTTTGCAAAGGCCTCCCATAAACTTAAAAAAAATAATTCTCTCATGCATTCTCTAGACTTCCTTGAATAATTGAAATTCCAAAGTGCAAGGTACATGCTGCTTTTAGGGCTTTGTGTTTGAGTGTTGCTGCCTGTGGCTGCTGTGTTGTTTATGTAGGTCTATAAAAGTTCTTGATCGTCCTGCTCTTATCATCTTGATGGGTGGAGACGTATCACCGGGGACCTGGCTGACAGCAGTCCCTTCTCCCTGTTGGCCTCGCTTTGTTACCAGCTTTCCGGCCGACTTTTCTGTCCTGTTGGCTGCCTGCAGAGGGGTGGAGCTCACCTCCCCCACCCTGCGGCCCCGCGCTCTGAGGAGGCAGGATAGGCTCCAGACGGAAACTCGGAAGGCCTTTTGGACTCTTGCTCAATGGGCTGACTCAGTGAGGAGGTGACTGGGCTCTCTTTCCAGACCGGACCGCCTGCACGGGCTCCGCCTATCCCTCCCACCCCTGCTGCAGCCAGCAGCTGCCAGGCCCTGGCCAGCTGGGACCCCAACCAGGGGTGTGGGTTGGTGAGGAGGGAGAGGGGGCGGGCACAGGTGTTATCTGGGTGACTGCTCCCTAGCTGAGCCGACACAATGGGATGGCACCTGTACTACCCAAGTGTTCTCCACCCCGAAGCAGGCAGAGGAGCAGGTGATCTCCTTTCTGTCCTTGCGCAGCTTCTGCTCTAGCCGCTGCTCGCCCCCCATGTGTCAACTCTTGACAACCCTGACAGACACAGCCCTGGGTTGTGGGAGTAGGGGATCCAGATTCCCCTTCAAGGGTCTCCTAGGAGCAATTGATGGCTTGAAAGTTGTTTGAGGGCTTTGGGACAGCTCTGTGGCATACAGTGGCCGCACATGTCTGCAGATGTGAAATTCAGAGTCCAGGGCGCCAATTCAGAGAGCAGGCGTCCTGGGCTTTGGAGGCCCCAGACCAGGGCCTTGGCCATGTGCCTGCCCACTTCTTGAAGCGCCCTCAGCCATGGGGCAGTAGGACATGCCTCACACCTCCTGGGTTCCTGGGTTGAGGATAGCTGTGTCCCATAAAGACGTCTTCCCCTTCCTCCTTTCTTATTTTTTGGAGACAGGGTCTCTGTTGTCCAGGCTGGAGTGCAATGGCGCGAACACGGCTCGCTGCAGCCTTGACTTCTCCAGGCTCAGGCAATCTTCCTGCCTCAGTCTCCTGAGTAGCTAGGCCTACAGGTGCACACCACCATGCCCAGCTAATTTTCATTTTTGGAGAGATGGGGTCTAAGTTGTCCAGGCTGGTCTTGAACTCCTGGCCTCAAGCAATCCTTCTGCTTTGGTCTCCAGAAATGCTGGGATTACAGGTGTGAGCCACCATGCGGGGCCCCCTTCCTCCTTTCTTTGTCATCCCATTCCATTTCTTTGTCCCCTTCCTTTTTATCCTGCCTCTGCTCTTTTCCTTCTTGCCTTTCTCCCCAGTCGAGTGGCTCTTGTGGCTACCACAGTTGTCAACCTCCTTAGGCCTAAAGGACTTTGGCCCAGAGGGGAGCTAGGCTGGGCCCCTGAGTGTCCACTGAGAACAGGGTTTGCTGGTGAGGCCCACAGCCCCTTCTCTCAGGCAGCACCCCCAGTGCCAGAATCTCCCACCCTAGATGGTTCCTGAAGCACAGCCTTCCCACTCCCCTGCTCTTAAGCATCTATTAAGCTTTTTGTAACCAAGATGGTTCATATCTAGCTTTTTTGTTATTGTTCTCTTTTCTCTTTAAAGCTGGGGAAACTCCAGGCTACCTACACATCCTGGCCCAGGCTGGTCACGGTATCCCCCCTCCCTGCTCTGTGCCTTCTCCTTCCAGAAATCCACCATGGAGAGTAAGGATGAGGTCAGTGACACCGACAGTGGCATCATCCTGCAGTCTGGTGAGTGTTCAGGGAAATCCCCCTCCCCTGGTCCCTGGCCCTGACTCCTGAGTCCTGAGTCCCCAGGCGCTAGGGCTGGCCCAGCTGAGACTCCCAAGGGCTGAGAGGAAGGGGAGGGAGAGGCCTCTGCCAGGAGGAGGGGGAGGTTCTGGAAGGGCTGGAGCCTCAGGGACATGTGGAGTTTTCCTCCCTGGAGAAAACTGGCTTGGAGTTTTGGTTCTATCTGGAAGAGGGATTTGCAGTGTTCAGCTTTAGCCCCAGTTGAGAAGCTGAAAAATCTCAGCCAGGCACAGTGGCTCATGCCTGTAATCCCAGCACTTTGGGGGGCCAAGGTGGGTGGATCACAAGGTCAGGAGATCGAGACCATCCTGGCTACCATATAGTCCCAGCTACTTGGGAGGCTGAGGCAGGAGAATCGCTTGAACCCGGGAGGCGGAGGTTGCAGTGAGCCGAGATCACAGCATTGCACTCCAGCCTGGGCGACAGGGCAAGACTCCATCTCAAAAAAATATATATCATCTGGCCAATGTGAAGGTCTTGCCTCTCTGTTTGGCCAGACCTGTGGGCCTAGTCTGGCCTAGTTTTGACAGAGGACAAGAAATAAGAGACTTTTGTGTGTGTGCAAGAGAGAGGGGTAGTGGGGAGAGGGAAAGACAGAAAGAGAGGAAGAAGAAGGAAAAGAGGAAGGAGAAGGGAGGAGGAGTGGGGGGAGGACTGCATGGGCAGAACTCCCTCCCTTGCACTGCCCCTACTGTAGGTCACCTGGTAGGACGACCCTCCCTTCTGAGCTGTAACATTTGTGCAGCCAAGAGACGTGGTGTTTTGCAGCTGTGACACAGGCCACAGCAGGCAGCCTGCAATTTGTGGGCAGGCATGAGATGTGTGTGTGTGCATGTGTGCTCCCCTAGGGGTGGTCAACAAGTAACGGAGGAGGCTTCCACCTTCAGCCTCCCTGAGCATGTGCCCCCCACCCTTGCAGGCCCTGACAGCCCAGTCTCCCCAATGAAGGAGCTGGCCCACGCAGTGCACAAGCAGCAGAGGGCCCTGGAGGCGAGGCTGGAGGCCTGCCTGGAGGAGCTGAGGAGACTCTGCCTGCGGGAGGCGGTGAGGCCCCAGCCAGCACACACAAGCATGGCGTTCATCTGAGGGGCTGTGGAGCCATGTTTGGGGATGTGGGAGCTGGGGAGAGGGAGCCCCATTCTTGAGGCAATTCTGGACATCAGGCTGGGGGCTGGGGCCCAGAGTCCCCATGACACAGTGTTTGACCTTGCGCTGGATGGAGAAGAGTCAGACCCAGGCGGGGGCCCAGGCACAGAGAACAAAGCTCATCAGGGGCTGCAGAGGGACTGCGTAGACATAAGTGCATATGAGTGCTGTAACCTGGGTCAGTGTAGCTCTGGAGGAAGTGATCAGAAGGAGGTCTGAAGGGAAAGGGGAGGGGTGCAGAGTGGTCTGAAGACGGGCGAGACAGCGTGGAGGATGGGATGTGGGGAGGAGGGTGGAAGGTGGTCCCAACAGGGCCTCTGTGGAAGGCAGGTACTTGCATTGCAGGGGCCAGTGGCCAAGGCTGGGCAGTGGGCCTGGCTTGACTCTGCTTCCTCCCTAGGAGCTGACGGGCACCTTGCCAGCGGAGTATCCCCTCAAACCAGGGGAAAAGGCCCCCAAGGTTCGCCGCAGGATCGGAGCAGCTTACAAACTGGATGACTGGGCCTTGCACAGAGAGGTGAGGAACCTCAGGAAGCTGCCAGTACCCCTCGACCCCCAAAGCTGATCACTGAGATGCCACACCTCAGCCCAGTACCCTGGCAGGTTCCCTTCCACCCCTTCACACCCAATGAGGGTGCTTGGCTGCATGTTGGCAAGGGGCACCATGAATATGTAGCCCAAATGGCCGTGGAGAAGGGGCGCCACCATGGAACCGCAAGCTGGGAGCTCAAGGGAGGACACTGGGTTTGGCCCCAGTGGGCAGAAGATCAGTTAAGAGCGCCAGCCACTAACCCAGCGGGCAATAGCCTGCTCAGACAGGTTACTCTGGCCCCTACGGCTGTCCTCCTTTCTCAGGAGGAGGTGGGGGCAGTCAGGCCCTGGGTGCCCTTTCCCCATGGCATCAATGGCAGCAGTTTCCCACGGACCAGCCTGCCCCACCCTTTGGGGTCAGTAGGGAAAGTGTCCCACTTGGGTTCCCACCCTGCCCGGTTCAGCAGGCAGATTGGTGGGTGGGTGCCCATGCCAGCTTTTCAGGCTGACAAGTTTGCTTTTCAGCTCCTCCCACCCCTCCACCCTCTGCTCCACGTCCGTCCATTGGTGCTGCTGTCTGCCTCTCTTCTGTCTTCAGGGCTTAGGACTGGGACCTAGAGCACTGTGTCAGGGCCGCTGTCTACCCTCTGGGCCCGCAATCTCCCTGCCTCTCTCTAGCCTCACTCCTGCCCCCTCTCTCAGGACCCCCTAAGCAGCCTGGAGCGCCAGCTGGCCCTGCAGCTGCAGATCACAGAGGCAGCCCGTCGGCTGTGCCTGGAGGAGAATCTCAGCAGGCAGGCTCGGCGGCAGCGGAAGCACTCCATGCTGCAGGAGGAGAAGAAGTTGCAGGAGCTCCAGCGCTGCCTGGTCGAGCGGAGGCGCAACAGTGAACCACCTCCGGCTGCTGCTCTCCCCCTGGGCCGAGGTGAGCCAGCAGCCCCGAGGGCCCTTGGGCCATGCTCCTTAAACGAGCTTTTGAGGGATGGTGGGTGCACAGCCCCGTGCCACTGCCTTTGCGTTCAGCTCCAGCTGGGTAAAGCTGATTCTTGGGTTCAGCTCCACCCCATCCTGATTCTCTGCAATTCCAGCAAGTCTTCCGTATCCTGTGAGGTCCTCTCCTCCGTCTACTTGGAAAACACCCTACTGTCTCCTTCCGTACCCTCCTCAAAATGCACTCCCTTCAAGAGACTTCCTACACAGAGATACTTCTCAGCTGACCCTGAGCTGAATCCAAGTTGCATTCAACTGGGTAGCCCAGGCCGGTCCTGCTGCCCTCCAGGCCCACAGGGTGATGGCTTCTCTGGGTCAGGGTAGTGTGAGGCTCACGTGAGCCCGAGGCTCTGAGTTGATGTGTAGTCCCCTGGCCTGAGTTAGGCAGCAAAGGGATTGACCATTGCTTTGTGTTACTGATCGCTGAATTGTTTCAGGGGTCCACAGCTACTTAGAAGATGTTCAGGTTGAAATCCAGCAGCACTGATGCCATGCCCCACAGCCCCTTAAGTATCTACAGCCACCCTGGTCAAGGGTGGGATCCTTCCTTGTCTGTTCTCTGCCCTCCTTGTGTCTGTAGTTCAATCCCTGAGCTCCTTGGCCCAGAGACTGGTGGCTGTGGGGGCACCTAGTGAGTTGTTGATGCCCAGGGCCTGCCACATCACATCAGTGTGTCCAGCCCAGGTTAGCTTCCAACAGCTGGTTTTGAGCCCTTAAGTGTGACTGTTTTCCTTTGTCCTGACCCAGGACCAGCCTATCAGGTCAGGACTTGCAGCTCTCCATTCCAAGCCCCACCGCCGTGGGCCCATGACTCAGCTCTGCCCCCCAGTCTCACACATGGGGCCCAGACCTCCCTGGCTGCCTCAGAGGGAACCAGGAGGGAATGAGGCAGTGGCCCTGCAATAGAATTGGATTCAGAGGTCTCGGCCTTCACTCACATTCTCAGGCTCCCATCCCTGCCTGTCGTGTTGGCTTTTTGCCAAGAGTACTCCTCAGCCTGGGAGCAGTCATGGGGAAGCTGGAAGGCCCTTGCTCATCCCTGTGCTGTGGCCCATGCCTCAGGCAGGGGGTTACCTCAGCACAGGTCTCAGAAGTCCCTGCTCCCATCCATGGCCTCTAATTTAGGGTAGAAAGTGCGTGACCAGACACCACCCAGGTCACCTCCCGCAGCCAAGAGTAGGTGATAAAGAGGAGGTGCCTCCATGTGACAGTTAACCCAGTAAAGTCAGAAGACAGTGGGGCTGACCCAGGGAAAATGGCCAGACCTCCGTCTGGTTCCAGTGGTTCTGGCTTGGCCGCAGAACAACACTCCCAGTCTCTGAGGCTCTAATGAAAGACAAATTCTACATCATTACTCCACTCTCAGCAGGGATCCCAGCAGCCTTGAAAGGTAGCTGCTGATTTGGGCATGGAAGCCCCTAAGGGCCAGCTTGCTCTGTGCTTGCAGGCAGAGGTCAGAGTGGTGAAACATGCCAGTTGGTTGCAGGGCCTCCTGCTCCCCGCTCCAACCTCACATTGCTCAGCAGCCTCCCCTACCCACCGGTGCTGCCATTGCTGGGAGCTTCTGCCCGTGATGGGTGGCAAGGGAGTGTCACCCTGATGCTGCCATTGTGACCCATAATGCTTCTTGTTGGGAGTCAGGAGCAGGCCAGGACTGGCCTGGGGCTCTGTGGAAGGCAGGAGGATGAGATTCTGAAAACTTGGAGCACTCAGTCCAGGTGAAGACAGAGCTGTGGAGAGGAGACAGCTGGTGTAGCTGCTGACTTTCCCGCATCAGGAATCAAGACCCCACTCGCCAACTTCAGGCCCTGGGATCTAAAGTCCTGTCGTGAGAGCACAGAATGGATCAGTTCTAGACGAGTAATTTCTGTTTTGTGGCTCCTCTGCCCATCCGCCCTTCTAGAAAGGAGGACGTAAAGCAGAATTATTAGTAGCTGAGGTGTTTTGAATTAAAAAAGGAAGGCCGGGCACGGTGGCTCATGCCTGCAATCCCACTTTTGGAGGCCGAGGTGGGCAGATCATGGGGTTAGGAGTTCAAGACCAGCCTGGCCAACATAGTAAAACCCCATCTCTACTAAAAATACAAAAATTAGCCAGGCATGGTGGCGCATGTCTGTAGTTACTCAGGAGGCTGAGCCAGGAGAATCGCTTGAACTTGGGAGGTAGAGATTGCAGTGAGCCGAGATCGTGCCACTGCACTCCAGCCTGGTGACAGAGTGAGACTTCGTCTCAAAAAAAAAAAAAAGAAGGCCAGGTACAATGGCTCACACCTGTAATCCCAGCACTTTGGGAGGCCGAGGTGGGTGGATCACTTGAGGTCGGGAGTTCGAGACCAGTCTGGCCAACATGGAGAAACCCCATCTCTACTAATAATACAAAATTAGCCAGGCATGGTGGCGCATGCCTGTAATCCCAGCTACTCGGGAGGCTGAGGCCGGAGAATGACTTGAACCCAGGAGGCGGAGGTTGCGGTGAGCTGAGATTGCACCATTGCACTCCAGCCTGGGCGACAAGAGCGAAACTCTGTCTCAAAAAAAAAAAAAAAAAAGGGGGGGGTGTGAAAAAAGCAAACAAACCAAAAACCCAAACAAAAAACCACCCTGCCCCTTTGGGCTCCATATAAGGGTAATTCAGTTTGGGAAAGTAACCGTGCTAAGTGAGAGTCATCAGCCATACTCTGCAGTGGCAGGGAGCAGTCAGGTGTTGAGCTCATTTACTAGGGTGAAGCCCATGAGGGCCACCTGGCACCCACCTGTGCAGTGTAATAGGCGCTCTGGATGCATTTGTTGATCAACAACACCAGCCATTAGCAATACCCTCATAGCATTTCTTTTTTTTTTTTTTTTTTTTTTGAGATGTAGTCTCGCTCTGTCACCCAGGCTGGAGTGCGGTGGAGCCATCTCAGCTCACTGCAAGCTCTACCTCCTGGGTTCAAGAGATTCTCCTGCCTCAGCCTCCTGAGAAGCTGGGACTGCAGATGTGCGCCACCACTACGCCCAGCTAATTTTTGTATTTTTAGTAGAGATGGGGTTTCGCCAAATTGTCCAAGCTAGTCTCGACCTCCTGACCTCAAGGGATTCTCCCGCCTCGGCCTCCCAAGTGGTGGGATTACAGGTGTGAGCCACTGCACCTGGCTTCTCATAGCATTTCTGAGATGATGGAAGTGTTCCGTATCTGTGCTGTCCAATACAGTAGCCATTCGCTGCATGTGGCTATGGAGCATTTGAACTCTGCCTAGTGTGACTGAGGAACTGACTTTATTTAGTTTTAATGAAAATAGCCACATGCGGCTAGTGGCAACTGTGTTGGACAGCACAGCCTTGGAGGAGGCTCAGCATTTGTGAGTATGATCTCCACTGTTACCCCTCCGCCTGCGGTGTCCTGTGATGCTGCTGCGGGGCAGAGGTTGGGACGGTGGGTGAGATAGTGAGCAGCTCTCAGAAACCCGAATCTTTTTTTAAAATCGTTTTAGAGATAGGGTCTTGTTCTGTTGTTCAGGCTGGAGTGCAGTGGTGTGATCATACTTCACTGCAGCCTTGAACTCCTGGGCTCAAGTGATCCTCATTCTTCAGCCTCTAGGAGCTGGGACTACAGTCATGTGCCACCACACCCAGCAAATTAAAACAAAACAAAAACTATTTTAGAGATGGGATCTTGCTTCATTGCCCAGGCTGGTCTCAAACTCCTGGTCTTAAGCAATCCTCTTGCCTCAGCCTCTGGAGTAGCTGGGATTACAAGTGTGCCTGGCCCAATAAAAACCTTTATTCCTAAGGTTTTTATAAAAGATCAAAGGCAAGAGACCAGAATTCAGTAAGAGGGTGTCTCTTTAATTGAACCCTAAAGCAAAGGCTACTTGTGAGCCAAGCAAAGCATGGGCTGGCTGTCTACTCAGGAGTCAGGCCCAGCTTCTGGCACCGTGTGTCCTGCAAATCTAACACCTGCTCTGGATAAAGATTTTTTTCATTAAATTGTGGAGCAGGCTGGGCATGGTGGCTCAAGCCTGTAATCTCAGCACTTTGGGAGGCCAAGCAGGAGGATCTCTTGAGCCCAAGAGTGTGAGACCTGCCTGGACCATATAGGGAGACCCTGTCTCTACAAATAATTAAAATTTAAAAATTGGATAGGCATGATTGTGGACACGTGTAGTCCCAGCTACTCAGGAGTCTGAGGTGGGAGACTGATTGAGCTCAGGAGGTCAGCGTTGCAATGAGCTGTGATTGGGCCACTGCATTCCAGCCTAGGCAACATCGTAACACCCCATCTTTAAAGAAAAAAAAAAGTTGTGGAACAAAGGTTAACAAACTTTTCCACAAAGAACCAGATAGCACATATTTTAGGCTTTGTGGGCTGTTTGGTCTTTATCACAATTGTTCAACTCTGCTACTTCAGTGCTAAAACAGCCAGACATTACATAAACAAATTCATAGCAGTGTTCCAACAAACCTTTATTTATAAAAGCAGCCATTGAACTGGATTTGGCCCCTGGGCCATAGTTTGCTAACCCCTGTTGTAAGGGATTTCAAGATGGTTGGAACTTTTTACTTTTCTTTAAACTTCCTGTGTAATGCTCATACATTTGAGATGCAAGCTCATAGGGGAGAGCCCATAAAGGGTTGTGGTTAAGAGCAGACTCCAGTCAGACTGTCTGGGTGTGAATTCTGACTCAACCAGCTTTGTTGAATGTACAACCTAAACCACGTTACTCAACTCCTCTGAGACGTGGTTTCCTCAACTGTCACTTGCAGATGATAACATCTACCTTACGTGGTTGTTATGAGAATTACCTGAATTAATATATATAAAGTGCTGTATTTAGAAATGTATTGGCACAGTAGAAACATTAGCAATTATTACTTTTTCCTCATCTTCATTCTCAAACACAGTTGCAAAAGTTTCGTTAGTTCCATCCAGGTCACTTTAGGCTTATTCTTAAGATCTGAAGACTTGACCAGGTGTGGTAGCTCACGCCTGTAATCCCAGCACTTTGGGAGGTTGAGGCGGGTGGATCACCTGAGGTCAGGAGTTCAAGACCAGCCTGGCCAACCTGGTAAAACCCTGTCTCTACTAAAAATACAAAAATTAGCCAGCCATAGTGGTGGGTGCCTATAATCCCAGCTACTCAGGAGGCTGAGGCAGGAGAATCACCTGATCCTGGGAGGCAGAGGTTGCAGTGAGTCAAGATCACGCCACTGCACTCCAGCCTAGGTGACAGAATAAGACTCCATCTCAAAAAAAAAAAAAAAAAATCTGAAGGCTTAAGTTTGTTCAAGGGCAATAGCAAAAATGAGTTCCCTCTGATTTCCTAGGTAACAAGTGCTGCTATACCATGCAGAAAAGTCACACTACATTACCTTCAGGTGACTTGCCAGATCACCAACTGAAGAATCTTCCACGGGGCCAGCTGGCCAGACCTTATCTTAAATTCAAATTCCTATCTTGCGTTGCTCTTGTTGTTGATAACGCAGCAGGTCTCACATTGGGATCTTTGAATTGTATTTGTGATGTGAGATGATTATACACAAATTATAGTGAAATTCCCTTTTTTAAATTTGAGACAGGGTCTCACTCTGTTTCCCAGACTGGAGTGTGGTGGTGTGATCATGGCTCACTGCAGCTTCAACCTCCCAGCCTCAAGTGATCTTCCCATCTCACCTTCCTGAGTAGCTGGGACTACAGGCACTCACCATCATGCCTAGCTAATTCTCATATTTCTCGTAGAGACCAGATTTCACCATCTTGCCCAGGCAGGTCTTGAACTCCTGGGCTTAAGCCATCCACTGCCTTGGCCGCCTAAAGTACTGGGATTACAGGCATGAACCACCACGCCTGGCCATGAAATTCTTTTTATCCCAGGGGCTTCTAAAATGACTCTTTGTCTTTCCTTTCCACTGCCAAGAAGCCTTGCCAGAGGACACCTTTTTTCTTTTTTTTGACAGGTGGGGAAACTGAGGTCTAGAGCATTGAAATCGTTTATTCAAAGTTGCAGAGCTAATATCAGAGTCAGGATTAAAATCACATTTCTTGTCTCCTAGCGTCTGCCTTCTATTTTTTTCTACTTCCGTGTAATAAGTTTACAGCCAGGCCAGGTGCAGTGGCTCATGCCTATAATCCCAGCACTTTGGGAGGCCAAGGCAGGATGATCACTTGAGCCTAGGAGTTCAAGACCAGCCTGGGCAAGATAGCAATACCTCTTCTCTACAAAAAATAAAATAATTTAGCTGGATGTGCTGGCATGCCCCTGTGTTCTCAGCTACTTGTGAGGCTGAGGTAGGAGGATCTCTTGAGCCTGAGAGGTCAAGGCTGCAGTGAGCCATGATCACACTACTGTATTCCAGCCTGGTCAACAGGGTAAGACCCTGTCTCAGAAAAAAAAAAAAAAATTCACTCCCAATGTGTATTTAGCATACAGTGGATATTTCCTCATAACGGATGCTGTCCTGGGGGAGTGATCAGGCCTGAGCTGCTCAGCACTGCTGGTTACTCATATCTGTTTGTTCATTTCTTCACTTCCTTCTCTTCTCTCCCCTTTGTCTTTCCCAGAGCTCAGTGCCTCTGATGACAGCTCCCTGTCAGATGGGCTCCTCCTGGAGGAAGGTGAGAAGGATGTTTGGGGGCCTATTGTCAAGGCTGGACTCCTATTGCAAGACCATGGGGTTGGGTAGTTTTCTGGTATGGAATTTAAGTGGCAGTGAAGGCTAGGGTGCCAGGCTTAGGATTTCCGCTTGGACCTCATGTCGATTTCCATGTGCCCTTGCACATGCTCAGTTGAAGATAGGGAATGTGCTGATCTCCCATTCTGGAAGCTCATTATTTTTACAGGGAAAGGAAAGGTGAACTCCAGGAGAAATGATCAACCCCAGATGTCCCTCCTTCACCCTGGGATTTGATTTCAAGATGCACCAGTCAGAGCCAAAGAGCAATCTGCCCACAATCATTGCCAGTTTTGAAAGGAAGGGAGCACTGGGGGAGGAAACACAAGTCTATAGATTAAGAACCCTGTGTACAAACCATGAGGATGCCAGGGTCAAGGTGGATCGAGAAGCTGTTACCGTCCTGCCCAGGGGAGTGCCCAAGCCAATAAGGAAATAGGCCATATGGGCATGGCAGGAACAAGAAAAATAGGTAAACAAAAGATAACTGCAGACATGGTACCAGGAACAAAGGTTAGAAAGTGGAGCACTGTAAGCCCAAAAGAGTCAACCCAGGAGTCTTCTTGAAGGAGGAAAACATAAAATAGTGCTGTGTGGGAAGGAGTAAGTCCCAAAGAAGAAAACATGTTTGAGCATCTAGGGCTGGAGCCATGGCCTGGAGCAGCCGCACAAGCCAGCATGGGAGGGAGAGGGAGGCATGGGCTATGGTTTGTGGAGGTTCTTGTTGGGCCGGTTCCCCCAGCCTCTGGCCTTACCAGGTTACTTTTACTCCTGCAGAGGAATCCCAAGTGCCAAAACCTCCTCCAGAGTCCCCAGCCCCACCTTCTCGGCCTCTCCCACCCCAAACCCTTGAGGGTCTGCAGCCAACAGAACCTGAGCCTGGGGGCCCGGAACGGGCTCCAGTCCAGAACAGCCCCTGGAAGGAGACCAGCCTGGACCACCCCTATGAGAAGCCCAGGAAATCTTCTGAGCCCTGGAGCGAATCCAGGTCAGGATCGGGGAGGGAAGGGAGAAGGGGAGGGCTGGGAGTTGGTGGGAGCTGTGCTGGGGATGGCCCTAGGCTGGGTGGATGGAAGAGTGGAAAGGTGGAGGAGAGAGCTCCTGCAGCAGTGGGATGGAAGCATGAGCCTTGGTAGTTCCCCAAGGGTGCTGGCAGTTTGCACCACTAACTTTGGGAGCCCCTTCCACTGCATCCCCATTCTTCTGCACCTCTTGAGCTCCTGAATGGAGGCATTTCTGCCACTGACCTGTCTCTAATCCTTTTGCAGCAGCCCAGCCACCACGCCACAGGATGGGCCCAGTGCCTCTAGCCTGTGGCTTCTGGAGCCTGCCTCCTACCACATGGTTCCCATCCGTGGTGTTCCTGGCCAGTGGCAGGGCCGCACCAGTGCCCCAGCCACCCCCGAGATGCAGGGGAGGAGGGGCCAGTCGCAGTCTCTGAGGTAAGAGACAGCTTCCCCAGAGAGATGGGGGACCCACTCAGAGCTTATCGTTGGAGGGTGGGAGCTCCCAGGACACAGGTGGGACAACCCTGGGTGACACATGGCTAGTGCCTTGGCTTCTCTTAGGATCTCTTCTTGGGGCGTCTCTTGACAGAGACTACACTGCCACTCGCAAACCCAAAGGCCATCCATGAAGCAAGTTGTTTTCTTCCAAAGACTCTAGTTTTGTCTTTTTGCATAACTTGATTCAAATTTTCTACCCTTGCCATGTTTCCTCGTGCTAGTAATTATTGGTCACTGACAATAGGCAATTCACTTTTTCAGTTGACGCACAGTTGATTCTCATTATTTGTGGTAGTTATGTTCTATAAAGAAAAATTGACGCAAATCCTGAATTAGCAAATACTGTATTTCCCCTGGGGAAATATAGGGTTAGGTTCCTGTGAGCCTTTGGTCACATTTTGCATCAACTGATTAATATATAACCTTGTGTTATGTGAGTTTCTGCTTAAGGACACCTTACTTAATATGGGTTGTTGATCCATTAACTCATGGCCAACGGCACTCTAACTCATACCCGGATGAACCTTACCTAGCACACATATTTTCTCCATAAGGCACACCATAGCCTTTTCCCAGTATGCCTTAGGGAGGAACAGTAGATAGCACTTCAGCACTGTATCTGGGGCCATTTTAAACAGCAGAATCACCAATCAAAGCAAAAACACACACACTACATAAATATGCCACAAAAAGGACACTGTGTGCTTACAGCATGAGAACTGAAACATGAAGGCAGAACATGGCCTCGTTTAACCTCAACTGAAACTTAGAGACTCAAATTTGTCACTCTTCTGCAGTGTCCAAGAATGACCATGAAAGCACTGTGCATATTGCTTTGGGGATTAAAAATAAAGTTTAGCAACTAGGAAAATTACAAATACTGAATCTGCAAATAATGAGAATTGATTGTATGTTACTTTCTAAGTCATCTGCTACTTGGTAATAGTTTAAATGGTTAAGTGTTGACAGGCAGTATTGGCCATACCATGGGGGGACTGGGGCACCATGAAAGCATTGCTGAATTCTCCGTCAGCTTAAATTTGCTGGTCAGGCAGCACTGAACTGGGGGCAGCTTGGGACAACTGCTCTCAAGTAAAGCAATGGATTTTATTTAGTTTTTAATTTTTTTTTTTTTGAGGCGGAGTCTTGCTCCTTCATCCAGGCTGGAGTACAGTGGCGCAATCTTGGCTCACTGCAACCTCCGCCTCTCGGGTTCAAGTGATTCTCCTGCCTCAACCTCCTGAGTAGCTAGGATTACAGGCATCCGCCACACAGCAATAGATTTTATATTTTACATGCTACCAGGGCCATTTTACAAACCATGCCTTTGTGCAAATTAGGAAAAGGGGGACAGAGCCCCATACCTGGGTGCATTAGCAGAGTGAAGCGAAGGCTGGATTTCAGCCCCTGCCGGTCCTGGGCTGCATGTAACTGCTCTGGGTACCACATGACAGCTTTTACGCGTTCAAGTCAGGTACCTGGCAGTGCCTACCGAACAGATGCTGTGGATGATCTGCCACTGGACACGGTGTACCTCAGCTGAAAGTACTTAATGTAGTACTTTTAAAAGAGTACTTAATGTGCTACTTGATGTAGCACACTTTACATGAATCACAAGCTTGTGAATGCAGCAGGTACACATTTGCACACAGTGAGGGAATGCGTTGCACCCACACAGCCCAGCAGAGGGTTTGTTGGTTTGCTTTGGGAGGTTTGACCTAAGACCCTTGCAGGAGGGCCATGCTTGGGTCTTGAGGTAGAGCAGGACTCACCTGTTTTAACCCCACCTCCTATCCCAACCCCAGCGTAGAGTTTCTGACCCCCACACTCAGAATGCCTCTCTTTCCCTCTTCAGGGTGGATTCCTTCCGGGCGGGTCCTGAGGGCCGAGGTCGCAGCGCCTTTCCCCGCCGCCGCCCCACTCACTACACGGTGACAGTGCCAGAGTCCTGCTTTCCCGCGACCAAGCCCCCGCTGCCCCACGCCTCCTGCCACTCCTGCTCAGAAGACAGTGGCTCTGACATCTCCAGCATCTCCCACCCCACCTCACCGGGCAGCAGCAGCCCCGACATCTCCTTTCTGCAGCCTCTCTCCCCTCCCAAGACCCATCGTCACCGCGGGGCCTGGGGCCCAGCCGGCAGCAGAGAGCTGGTCGCCCACCACCCCAAGCTACTGCTGCCACCTGGCTATTTCCCGGCGGGGCGGTACGTAGTGGTGGCTGAGAGCCCCCTGCCGCCTGGCGAGTGGGAGCTGTGCCGCGGAGCCCCGGGCCCCACCTACGAGGAGGAGGGCACTCCCCTGCGCTACCAGCGGCTGGTGCCCTCCCGCAGCCGCATTGTGCGGACGCCCTCCCTGAAGGACAGCCCGGCAGGCCGGGGGCTCAGTAAGGCCGCAGTGTCCGAGGAGCTCAAGTGGTGGCACGAGCGTGCACGCCTCCGGAGCACCCGCCCCCACTCACTGGACCGCCAAGGAGCTTTCCGAGTCAGGAGCCTGCCCCTCGGGAGAGAGGGCTTCGGGCGAGCCCTGGGACCCCGGGCACAGGTACGGCTCCTCTGGAGGGACCCCGGGGCCAGGCAGGAGGGCTGTCTTGCTGGGGAGGGGCTACAATTCTAGCACGTCCAAGGGTAGAGAGGCATCAAAGCAGCAACCTAGTGGCCGGGTAATCAAACCCCAGCTAGGAAGAACAGGCCAAAAAAACATTTCCTCTTGGCTTTGGAAGGCACTCTTGGCTTCCCTGGGGCACCTCCTAATTTTGCCTGCCATGTCTAGCTCAAAAGCGTATACACTGGTGGAGATGATCCCTGAAGACAGCTGAGACTTTTTCCCTCCCTCAATGATGATCCACAAAGCAGATAAGCCTCTTCATAATCAAAGGTCCAGTCCAAATCAGCCCCTCAAACTTCCATTTGAAGGTCTAGGACAAAGGGAGAGTAGGAAGTGTGTTGCAGAAGCCAGAACCTGTGATTTTTCTGGGCATCAGCATCCTCCCTGACACTCCTCCTCCCCATCAAGCTGAGAAGAAGGGTGGCATCAGAGTTAAGAGCACCGACCCTCAAGCTAGACAACCAGGTTCAAATCCCGGTTCTGCCACTTACGAGCTGTATGACTGGGCAAATGACTTAACCCCTTTGGACCTAGTGTCTCCTCCCCTGTGAAATGGTAGTAGTAGAGTACCTGTCTCATAGGGCTGCCAAGAGGCTGAATGATTACAGCAATGCATGGTAAGCACTAGATATGTGATATTATCATCTGGGACCTCAGAGGCCAGGGAGCAGGCTGGAGGGTAGTATATAGGATAGAGCACCCTGATACTGGGTAGGGTGGCAGCCTTGGTTTTCTTGGCCCCTATTTCTTCATTCTGGAAGTGGGGAGCCACACACAGGAATCCTTTCTTTATTCTTTCTCCCTGGTACGGAGGGCTCTGCAGGGGATGTGCTCCAGAAGTTACCAACAAGCTGCTTCTTTGAGACCCCAGGTTCCCAGCAGGCCCAGCTGCGTGTCCCTCCCCCACCCACGGTTCTTTGGACTGCAGCTGGCATCCTGGGCCTGGCAGCACCCTGGCCCCAGTCCCAGGCCGCGCCCTCCAGCTGACGTGCTTTTCCCTTCCTGCGCGCTTGGGCCTGTCCTTGGCTGGATAGACCCAGCCCATCCCAACCTGCCAGACAGGGAGGGTGATGAGAAGTGAGCCCAGGAAAAGTGGGGGAGGAGGAGGTCAGGGCGCCTGTCACACCCCAAAGGAACCTGGAGGAAAATGTGTAAAGGGGGTCCCTGAAGGACAGAGAGCCTCCTGGGAGGAAAGGGCTGAGTGCCAGGGCCTGCTGCTGCTGCTGCTTCTGCTGGTCAGTGTCCCTAAGGGATAAGGATGGTGTAACTGCGCCTGCAGTCCCCGCTTTTCGGTCTGGTTCATTTACCCACCTCTCCTTTCTTCCTGACCCTGGCAGGTGCCCACAGTGTGTGTGCTGCGGAGATCGCCTGACGGGGCCCCTGTGCAAGTCTTTGTACCTGAGAAAGGAGAGATCATCAGCCAAGTGTAACTCTGCGCCCCATGCTGGGAAAGACTGTTTCATAGAGGGGTCTCGACCCCCCACCCCTGAGTGCCTCTTTCAGCTCCCCCATCCCCATCGCAGGCCGATGACCTGGAGCTGAGACCTTTTATGTTTTTTTTGTACACGACTTTTTTCAGAAGCCTTGACCTAAGGATTTATATATGTGGATTGTCCTCAAGACCCCTGTGATATGATTATGCTTTATCCCCCAGAGTTTAGCCTACTGGACTTAAGGCCTTGCCTGTCTGACTGACAGCCTCTATCTCCTTATGCAAGACAAGTGGCAGGGGATGAGTGAAGCAGAGTGGGCCACCTTGGGAGTTCTCCAATGCTCTGTGCTCTGGTTCTAAGAACTTCCCTGGGGAACTGCCCCGGCCCTCCTGTCCCACTATTGCTGGAGGCTGGACATGGTACATACATGGTACATGAGAGTCATGCACATGACTCTTCCCCATTTCCCAGGTCTCTGAGTACCCCAGCCTGGGATGGGGGAGAATCCTTTCCCCTTTTCTAATGTGCTCTGTGATGCACACACCAAGTGGTAGGTCAAAGGTCAGTATATCCTGGTGGTGTATTGTCTTGCTAGACTTTCCTATTTTCCTGACCCCATAAATCCTCTTTAGGGACCCAGTCACTATACCCTGTCTATGCCCTGTGGGCTCCTAGACCTCTGAGCTTTGAGTCAGTGGCATCATGGTTTGTAGCCTTAGGGAGTCCGGCGGCGAACTGGTCCATGCTGGTGCTTAGTGGGCACCTTTTGACAGCCACCTCTGGGCATCTCAAGGGCTTGCAGTCCCATTGCTCCTTCTAACATTTTGTTTGTTTGTTTTTGAGATGAAGTCTCACTCTGTCACCCAGGCTGAAATGCAGTGGCAAGATTTCAGCTCACTGCAACCCCTGTCTCCTGGGTTCAAGCGAGTCTCCTGCCTCAGCCTTCCGAGTAGCTGGGATTACAGGCAAGTGCCACCATGCCTGGCTAATTTTTGTATTTTTAGTAGAGATGGGGTTTCATCATGTTGGTCAGGCTGGTCTCAAACTCCTGATCTCAAGTGATCTGCCCACCTTGGCCTCTCAAAGTGCTGAGATTACGGGCATGAGCCATCGCACCCGGCCCTTCTAACATTTTTTCATCGTAGTCCCAAAAACCAATACTTTACAAGTGGTTTTGGAAAGGCACCACTTTTGTGGCATGTTCTGGTTGGGGGAGGGAGTCACAGTTCCTACTGCCCCCACCAGCTATGCTTCTGCTCTGAGAAGGTGCTTATTTATACCAACATGGACATACTTACTCCCAAGGACTGATGAGATGCTGAATTTTCTTTGAGGGCATTCATTATTTGTCCCAGTTGCAGTGGCTGGGTGGAAGCTGCATGTGCTAAGACCACCCAGCCATCCCTGGGTTCTCATCCTAGGGCCTTCTTTGCTTCCAGGTCAGGGGACCTGCTTCAATGAGAAAGCAACTGAGTTGAGGCTAGGAGAGGTAGGGAGAGCTAAGTTCTGGCTTTACCTGTGCAGAACTCTGCTCCTATGTTACCTGGACTGGAACAGACTGTGAGTATAGCAGAAGGTTCAGCCTCTGGTGTCTGACCTAAAAGAGGCACAGTTCTTCCTACTGGAAAGAAAACGGTGTAGCTGATTGCACAAGGGTGCCAAGGGAAGACCCAGAATGGCCCATCAAAGGAACCTGTGGGAGGACGCAGGAGGCTGAAGGGATGCACCTGGCATTTCTCTCACTGTGCTCTTACTGCATCAGCAACCCCCAACTTTTGGGCCTACTCTGCCCCTCATGTGTGAATACCCTGCTTGGATGCTGTGCTTTTCTGGTTTGTCTCTAAGCCCCTTTCCCCAGGGTATGTTGGTTTCCCTGGTCTCTCAGTGTCCTAACTGGAGCCCAGAGCGCCTTGATCTGAACCAGGAGATGGCTGAGCACTGGCCTTCCACACCTAAGCGTCCTTTACATTAACTTATTGGTCCTGTATAACACCTGGTGCCATTGCCAAGTGGCTGTGTCCTCAGCTACAGAGCTGGAATTGTGTGGGGTTTAGTGCTAAATACTTCAATAAAGTCTGTTTTTTGTGATTGGCTGAGCTGGGGATGAGGGATTATTATTATTATTATTATTATTATTTTGGGGTGTGTGTGTGTGTGTGCGCCAGGTTTCCTGAGCAGAGGCTGAACCTGGCCCCTTGGGCTGCCCACCAAGGTGACTGAGTTGCCCGGCCCCTCCAGCTGGGCTGGCCAGGTCCCTGGGGAGCTGGTGTGATGGGTTGCCTGGTAGAGGGAGGCTCTCAGATTCTCTGCTTCCGGGGCAGGGTGGAAGCCAGCACAACCCCTGTCAAAGCTCCTTACGGCCTCCTCTTCAGCTTGAGGAGCTGGCCTCTGGGAGTCACTTCCCCAAGAAGGACAGGGGAGTGGCCAGGCAGAGGGTAGAGATGGGTGGCTCAGCGCCTCCAAGCCATTCCTGGAGCTTTGACTGCCCGGAGCCCAGGCTCATGAGAAACAGCCCCTTCCCCATACCTGGAAGACTGGGGACCCTCCTTGGGGTGGTGAGAAGGCGGGGCTCTCAGACCCCCGCCCGCTGCATGCGGTTTTACTGCGGCCTGGTGGGGAGCGCCACCTTGGACACTTCCGTGCCTGCCCTGCAGGGGTCGCTCCAGGGCCCCGGCGCACAGCGCCCCCTGGAGAGGCTGTGCCCGGACCTGAGGCGCCGGCCTGCGGCGCCGGCGTGTCAGGTAAAGGGTTCCCCCTTTCCGCCTGTTCCCTCCACAGCCAAGGAAGGGGCGGGGCAGGGCCGCGGCCCTCGCTGCAGAAGGGGAGCCTCCAGCCCTGCCTGGATGCAGCCCTCGGGGCCGCGGGGATCTGTGGGCCTCAGGGGTCTGGGGCACTCCATTCTTGGGGAAGGTATGGGAGGGGAGATGGCTCCAGGGTCTCTGGAGAAGTTGTAGGGTATCCTGATCTCAGATCTGAGCGCCTCGACTTATTATTTGTGGGGAATGGGGCGCTGGATTCTGTATTTTAGATGATGGTGAGTTAGGCCCAGGGAAAACTGAGGGTGAGCAAGTTCCCAGGGGATGGCCTGTCCGAGCGGCAGCTCCCAAAAACAGGACAGACAGAGAGCAGCTAAGAGGAGGGATACAAAAGAGACGCACACAGGGGCAGAGCAAGGCCCTTTAAGGCAGTGAGCGATGGGACGCGCCCGTTTGGGGACCCGAAGTGCAGGGCCGTGAGAGAAGCAGGTTGCGCAGCAGTTTCTTCCTGGTCCAGGAGCAGGCTTCCCTGGGCCATGTCTGGGAGGGGCAGACATGTGGGGGCTCTTAGCTCCCCTACCATAGGGCAGAAGGAAGGTTATGAATTAGGGAGTGGGGACAGAAGCCTCTGGGAAGAGGGGACCTCGGAATTTTGGCAGCAAGACTCCTAGAGGCAATTTGGCCTGGAGGCACAGGGATGGCCACTGTGACCTAGGAGCCCACCTGTGAGTCTGAGATTCTCTGTGCTGGAAGATCCCAGAATGGAAGACTCCTAGGCAAATCAGGAGGGACCAGGGCCCTTCAGAGGGTCCCGAATCTTCCCATGGGAGGAAATGGGAAGCTGACCCTGGGACTCAGCACTGGCCCTACTCAGCCAATTCCTTTTGTGGTAAAAGGGCAGGTCTGCCTCCTGCAGCTTCCCCCTGGAGTGAGTGCAGAGGGCTGCATCCCTAGGAAGGACTGTCTCACGCCTGGCCTGCCCACTGTTCTCCTCGCAAGCTGCAGGCTGCTGCCCCAAGCATACAGATGAATCCGAGTTCTAACAAGCGAAAATCAAAGAGAGTAACCTTTGAGCCATCGACATTACAAGCCTCTTGGAAGTCCCACTTACAGGGTGAGCAGTTGGTCCTGTATCTCAACTGCGGGTGCTCAGAAGTGATGATTGCCCAAGCCCTCGCTTGAGGTGTACCTAATGGGCACACATCTGCCCACTTCTGGCTACCCCTGTCACAGCTCTAGTCTCTGCATGCCTGCCTCCCTGAGAAGTCTGGAGCTGGGCCAGGAACAAGACATTGCCTGATAATTTGAGTGACACCTCCTGTAGCTGACAGCTGTTCAGGACAGCCAGAGCGTTCTCTCTCTCTCTCTCTCTCTAGATAGATAGATAGATAGATAGATAGATAGATAGATAGATAAGATAGATATGTATATATTTTTCTTTTGAGACATGGTCTCATTCTGTCACCCAGGCTAGGATGCAGTGGCACCATCATACCTCTCTGCAGCCTTGACCTCCTGGGCTCAAGCAGTCCTCCCAAATCAGCCTCCCAAGTAGCTGGGAGTACTGGTGCATGCCACCGTGTCTAGCTAATTCTTGGTTATTTGTAGAGATGTGGTCTCACTATGTTGCCCATGCTGTTCTTAAACTCCTGGGCTTAAGGGATTCTCCTACTTTGGCCTACCAAAGTGCTAGGATTACAGGCATGAGCCACTGCACCCAGGCAGAGAAATCTTTGGATAACATCTACATGCCAACAATTCCCAAATTGGTATCTGCAGTCCATATCTGCAATTCTGGAATTCCAGGCTCTTACATCCAACTACCTATTGATATCTCCACTTTGATGCCTAGTAGACATCTCAAAATTAATATATTCCAAACTGAACTCTTAACTTTATTCCCAAAGGCAAATCTGTTCTGTTCTCCCACATCAATTAATGGGAACTCAATCTTTCTAGTGTATCAAGGCCAAAATTCTTGACTTCTGTCTCTCATATGCACATCTAGCCATCAACTATTCCTATTGGTTCTACCTTCAACATGGATACAGAATCTGATCATTCACTTCTAACCACTTCCCTTGGTGTGAACCACCATCTCATCTCTGGATTATTGTCACAACCTCCCAGTTGGTCTCTTGCTTCTGCCCACACCCATGCCATTCTCCACCTCTACTCCTGATCTATTCTCAGCTGAACAGCCAGAGTGCTGTTGTTAATCAAAGTCAGACCATTTTTTTTCAAAACCTGCCAGGGGCTCCTGTCCCCAAAGCCAATTGTCTTTACAATAAGCTATGAGTCCCTCATGATCTGCCCCATTAGTACTTTACCTTCACTTCCCACCACTCCTCCCTGCTCCTCCCACTCCAGGCACCCAGGTTTCCTTGCTGTTCCTTGAGCTTTCCAGGCATGATCCTGCCTCTGGGCCTTCACATTTACTATTGCCTTGGCTTAAAATGCTCTCTTGCCAGATATATAAATGGCTTGACATTTACGTCCTTCAAGCCCACTCAAATACAATGAGATTTTCTTTGGCTTCTGTGTATATACAAACCTATATGGGCAAATACAAAATAGAAATTCTTTTATAAGGGTAATTCCTGTGAAGGAACTCCCTGGTGTGTAAGAAGCTCTATGACAGCAAAGATTATTGTCTCTTTTCTTCCCTGATGGGTCCAGGAGAGTCCTTTTACATAGCAGACTCTCAATAAATGTACACTGAAGAATGCACTTATTGATTTTCTACTATATGCTAGGAAGCATTGTAAATATTTTTTCACATATTAATTTATTTAAATCCATAACAATAATAGATACTATGATGATCATCCCCCAGGTTAAGATGTCAGAACTGAAGCTTGGGGGAATTTAATTTGCTCAAGATCACTTCTTACCTGTATTAAGACTCATTGTTCATTTAATCCTCAAACAACAACAGATAGTATCATCTTCCCTGTCATACAGATGGGGAAGGTAAACTTGACAGAGTTTAATTTGCTGGAGATCACAGAGCTGATGAAGCAGAGGAGCTGAGCTTTGAACTCATGCAGTTTGGTGCCAGGGCCATTGTGCGTAGCTCCCGTGCCTTGGGTTCAAGTCCTATTCCGAGTGGCTTTTCTTGCAGGGCAATGTGAGAGGGCAGCAGCAACTTGAACTCAGGCCCATGGCCCATGTTGCTTTGGAGCCCAGTGGTGTCACCAGCTCCTTCTTCTTGCTTTACCTTCTTCTGACTCCACTTGGGGCAAACAGGCTCTATTCCTGGCCTCAACCCTCAGGCTCAGGGAGGCACGCCCTGAAGGCTATGCCAGTACAGTTGGCAAAGAAGCCTCCCAGGCTGACTTGGGGTTTCAAGTCCATTCACAACCAAAACCTTCAAAGTCAGTGTAGGACAGCCCTAGAAATTTGTGACCACTGGGAGTGATTTAAAGGTCTCCTCCCAATTGTTCTTCCATCCCGGGCCATACCTGATGCAGAAAATCTTCCTTCTTTTCTTTTCTTTTCTTTTTCCTTCCTTCCTTCCTTCCTTCCTTCCTTCCTTCCTTCCTTCCTTCCTTCCTTCCTTCCTTTCTTCCTTCCTTCCTTCCTTCTTTCTGATGGAGTCTCACTCTGCCACCCAGACTGGAGTGTTGTAGTGTGATCTCGGCTCAGTGCAACTTCTGCCTCCTAGGTTCCAGGGATTCTCCTGCCTCAGCCTCCCGAGTAGCTGGGACTACAGGTGCATGCCACTACACCCGGCTAATTTTTTATTTTTAGTAGAGATGGGGTTTCACCATGTTGGCCGGGCTGGTCTCGAACTCCTGACCTTGGGTGATCCACCCACCTCAGCCTCCCAAAGTGCTGGGATTACAGGCATGAGCCACTGCACCCGGCTGAAAATCTCTTAACTAGTCCCACATGATGGCCTTTCCACTTTGGCTTCCATTGGCCTAGAGAAGCTGGTTCTGGGGACCCTGGTAGCTTCTGAACCTCCTTGGTGGACAGGAAGGGAGGGGGAGGATGACTCTGCCTTCCTGTTCCATCTGGTGGAATCAGCTAACCTTCCCCAACTACATCCCTTTTCAGGATTGCACCAATTAGAAAGAGAAGCCTATGCGTTCATACTGGAATTTCTAGAAGAAGAACATATGGTAAGAAAGTTATCTGGACCTTTGTGTGAACTGAGGCAGAAAGTAGAAAAAAAAAAGAGGGCTTATGCCTCCTTGGGTTTTGAGTACTAGCCCTGGCTTGGAAGCCACCAGATACTCAGCCCATTGTTGCCTCCTGACCAGGCAGATCTTTGGTGGCTAGGCCACTGGACAGGGTGTCTAGGGCTCAGATCTTGCAGTTCCCTTCCTGTAGGA